CATGTTCACGAATCTCATCGTCCGTCGGCTGTTTGGGAACGTACAATCCCTTTGGCCGTTGAGCCGACATTTCCGGAATGTCCGGGTTGCTCTCTTCCAAGAATTGCTGAGACTGCCGACGAAAAATCGTCGCGCCTTTGAATGGCTCAGGAAATTCCGTAGCAGCAGCCTCTGGGTCAGCCCAGTGGTCGTGAATCCACTGGAGTCTCCCGTTGAGGAACACAGCCAATGTGTGCCTCTCGTTCCCCAGCAATTCCTTGGAGGGAGCGGCCGAATCGGTCTCATCTGGCACATACAGACAATTCCTCCACTCATGGTGTATCCTAATGTCAAACTTGGGTGTGAGGTACCATTCATCATGTCCGAATGGTCCTCCTGTCTCCGGGTCACTCATGCACAATCGCCGTTCCACAATTTCCTTTGCTTCTTCCAATTCTCCCGTCGTCAGCTCCTTCACTGACCGGGAATAATCATCCTGGCCAATGTCAGCAGACGGTTGCGCTTTCAAATGAGGTTTCTTTGCTGGCACTGACGCTTCCTGAATGGGAGGTCTTGCAATTGTGGATTGCTTCCCCGTCAATCGTCTTGCCGTCGGCAAGGATTGCAACGGGAATTCTGTCCTTCCCATCCAGTACTGATCCAACGCCCGTTGCGGAGAATCTATCGTCCGCCAATTGTCGGCGATGGTCTCCTCACGTCCATCTTCGAATCGGACGTAAGTTGTGCGTCTGGACGCCACATCTTCCACAGGAATGGGCCTGTCCTTGGTGCCACCTGGCGTGAATAACGCACGCCTTGCGCGCTTGTGATGTCGAATCAGCACAGCGCGTTGCGGATCAAGTTCCCAACTGTCGTTGTGGTAAATGGTGGGCTTAAATGTGGGTGCTATGGTCCCTGAAGAATCTGAACCAAACTTGGAATGAAACTCTTGACACACTTCTTCAAATCGGGGTTTGTCAAATGGAAGAATGTTCGGACCTAGGAAAAGCAGTGAGCCTTTTCGGTGAATACTCACTACCTTACCATTGGGCATAAACAATCCCAATGAGTCTGGTCCATCCAATGCTACGCGGAATCCCTGCAGCAGCAATCGTGCAACCGACACAATCGGATAAGGCACGTCACAAACATAAAAATTCATGAAGCAATCTTGTCCATCCAAGTTCAAGCCAACCAATCTTCTCCCATACATGTTCAATGGCTGTCCTGTGACACTCTTCA